CTGCTTTTATGTATCTTATTGTCAACGTACGTAGCTTTTCTAAATGTAGGTTAGATAGAAAAGAATAAACCGTTTTGTCTATCTAACTGACCAATAAAAAGTAAAAAACACGACTGGGTTAATACATCGGATGAATTATACATAAAAATACTTCTAACCCTAAAATTGTATCGTACTAACATCATGGAATGAAGTCAGCTAGACATCCATTTGCAAACAGAAGTACAGACCTCCGGTCATTAAAAACATTTACGAAACTACACTCTACAAAATACTTCATAGCGGCAAAATCAAGTAACTAAGGTTTTTATTTGTTCTAGGTATTCAGTAACAGTTAAACGTGAAGAACATGCGCACTTTTAAAGACTTCCGTGTTTTTTAACTTTGTCTTGTACGAAAGAGCAGTGTTGCTGACAAAGTAATATATAATGGGACAAATCTAAGCTATCAAAAAGTGAAATAAGCATCGATCAGTTAACAACTGATATTTATAGCAAAGTACATTGACCAAACCAAAGTATGTGAAGATGCGGATCATCCAGTTGAAGCTCACAAAGCGTTTTGTTTTTCTAGAAAATGATTACCTTTGAAATGTTGACTCAGCAACAGAAAAAGTCAAACTTTTCAACTTAGGAATGCAATACAGAAATGAAAGTAATTTCAAACACACTGTGGTTTATTTTCAATACATGTTAAGTAAAAAAGTAGATCACACTTTGTTTTCAGTTAAACAGTCAAGATAACAAACGCACACAAAGTGATAACATATCAAAATTCATCTGATGTCAACATTCATTAAAAAGAAATAATTTTATAGCTAAATTACTTACACCTCCAGTGACTGTCCCTCCGAAACCTCCGACCAAATCATTTACCTCAACCTCACTTAAATCTGTTTCTATCGCATAAAATTGATGACATGTTGTCAGTACTGTTCCAATAAGGTGTAAATGGAAAAGAATAACAAACATTAACATTTTACTCCGAAAACATATAACATATTTGAGTTTGTAGACACAGTCATTCATCTGAACGGAGAACGTTAAAACAAAATCTATACAATCAAACTTTTCTAACTAAAATCAATCGACTGTCAGGTTTTAAAACGTATATCCAAATTTATAGCTAGATTTTATTGCTACGATGACTTATTACTTTCTCTTTAAACCTGGAACTCTAATGAATAAAAAACTACCGACCACCAATATTCTACATACTTATAGTCCAACTCTAAGTGTAACATGTTTGTAATTCGTAAAAATAACCTGTAATGAAAATGGTTCTGTGTATATTTTGATAATATTATTTCACATCCTGTATTATACCACTAGCATGAAACTTTTCACGACGTGTTCACTTCTTTTCTCTCTTTTCTTTCCCTTTAAATAAATATCCTTAAGATTACGAAGTTTGTAATTGAGACAATAACTTGTGTTACACTTAAATTAACTTCTCAGACCCGTTTTATCTTCACTATGCATATATGACTCATACATATTGTTATTTCGTTATCCTTTTCACTTAATTGAAACTTTCATAGCATCACTCCAAACTATAACTGCACAAACATTTATTCTAGCGTCATACCTTACTGCGGTAATAGGTTATTTTTTCTTAATTATTTTTTGTTACTAATTTGGCGATATATACATGGCCGTTTGTTCTTAATTTGTGTTCATAAATACGCCAATTAAACTGTTTGAGTGTTTCACGTCTCCTTTATTTTTTTCCCTTATTTTCTCTATTTCCTTCTTTAAACTCAATTCAATATTCTTCGCGAATACAGAGACCCGATTTATTATTAATAATATTCTACTATTATTACTCTAAAAAAAATTTTTATTATGGCAAGTATAACGCTAACATTATTGAAAATTGCGTATTATTGCATTTTTTTGAAGTAACCCGAAATGTTTTCTTCACAACACTTATGTACCCATAAAACGTTTGTGAATAACTATAATAATAAAAATAAGTGGCTGTGAATGAGGGAGGCAGTGGTTGATAAACTGAACGTAGCTTAAGAACCGTAAATCGTACAATAATAAATTATAGGTCAAAATGAAGCTTATAATAAGAGGAATATAAATATATAAAATCTAATTATTGAACAGTTATACAGTAGGAATATTTATAGGATAATATTTCATTATTAGTCTTCAGAAGTTACCCGTAATTTAATCTTCGCTCGGATATAACAAATTCGGTATTAATGCACTTATCACTGCCACTAGAATGATAGACGGAATCCCAAAACTATAAATTTGTCATGATGTGACTACCCAACGCGTAAGATCCGATATAGAATTCTCATCACTCTACACACTGACGCTTTTCATAGTGACAACCAACATTTTGACATCTGGCATTTCTAGGGCCATGTTTGGACTGAGGATGTCTTAATAAATGTAGTATGAAAAGGAGGATGTTACACAAAGTTACAACGTTTGCATGACCGAGCTATGCCATTTCGATTCCCTCTTCGCGTGTTCACCATTTTCCGACCTTTTCAATGTGTTACATGTTGAGAGTAGATCTCAGTTAGCATAAATTCAACTTCGAATATCGTGTGTTTAGGATCCTATATACGTACAAGTTATCCATACTCCAGATGATGCAAACAATTAATAAGTTTCAAATAAACCAAAATGAAAACCAAACATATGCAGACGTAGTCAACAACAGAAGAACTGAGGCAATTTATGGAAGGGCAGGGACTGTCTAGTAGCAACGCGGAGCGATTTACCACATGCTCTCATGAGGATATGGTAATTGATTCTGTATATACATTATTTGTCTCCAGTTTGCATATTCCCGCTGCGGCAATTTCATAGATGTGTAACTTCATGGATCATAAATCACATTGCTTTACTTTAGTATAATTAACACATATTTGAGATACTTAACGCGTTGACGTGACAACTGAAGATCTCGAACTTATAATTGTAACTTAGAACGCAGTATTTTATCAGATAATTTGGATTGCGATACCGTAAGCAATAGTCGTCAGACCATATATTGGTCTTATTTTACCCACTCACAACCTGACATGTAGTAGGTTCAGGCCCCTCTCTGACTCGTGAATAAACCCATTAGTATGGATCGGTAAACAAATTCCCGAAACAAGTCTTTGAATCTTTCGTGCCTTAAGGTAACCCTCGTGCTATTGGTAGAAGAAACCAGACAGTTAGTGAAGTGAATGAATACTTGAACAATACTGTTTTGGCATATGTTTGGTTGTTTGGGGTCAACTCTTAACCAACCAACCTATGCTGTTACAAATTCGTTAGTTTTACTGGACACATCCTAACTGAAGGCGCTTGATCCCAATCACATGCGGGTACTCTGTCTTACGTATCTTTCACAAATACAAGCCAGTATGGATCAAACGCTTCTCGACATATTGACAACCTTCCAAGAATGCATTCATACTCATTCATCACTGACTTCTGATCTGACTGGGTTTGTCTCCTTCTATTATAGGTGTTAGAAACAAAAGTGTTATCAAACCTTAATGGTATGTGGCATCTTTAAGTAACCACCGACATTTAGAGTGACACTCACATGGTAGTCATCTTGCACCCTTGAAATATGCATGCTAAATAACTTCGCATGTTTACTTAAATCCAACCTTTAGGGAATAAATACGACAACAGTGATGATATAAGGAGTCTTATGAAAAATATGCTGTAGATGTGTTTCTTTCATGCACTCATATAAGTAGATAAAATAAAGAATCATGGTCGGGTCGGAAGCTAAATCTGTAATTAGATCCTTTAGGAACTTAATCAAGATATGATTAAACGTAGAGAACATAGTATTGAGAAAGACGAAATATTAATACGTCAAACTGAAACGACATTATTTAACCAGAGTGGTGGTAGAAAGAAACACTCAACAACAAGTTAGGTATATTGACTGAAAAAATGATTACAGCAGCTCTGTAACAGATGTTACTTTAAAGTCTCTTTTGAGTAACTTCCACAAATATAGTTTACATAGTTAATAAATATTCTCCTATGTGATTGGCGACGATGGTATGAAGTGAAGTAATAACCTAATGATATTTTGGAGTGATTCATGCCGCTATTATAATCGTTACCTATAAGCTGAGGCTGATAAGACAAAAGATGGAACGACGTCGATAGTATTTATATGAACACCAAAGTCACGTAGATACTCACCAATTATTATTAGTTTATTCACAAGTGACACAAACAAGCAATAGATACTGAATACAAATGTGAATATGCGTGAAATATTACGAAGAACAAAAGGTACCTTCTTTTTGTAGTTAAAAGAATTACTAAATTCACATGTCGCTATAAATTCATCACACTAATAACTGACGATACGACTTATAGAGCTTTATGTTTAGCACAACAAAAGGATATGTAGACTTATATGTAAGCAGGAAGTTTCAGGTCTAAAACATAAATTAGGACAAGTATAATTCGATCAGTGAGATAACATGGACATTTATGTAGTAAGCAAAGCAATTAGTAATGTCATGATGACTCTTATTTTCAATTGGTCATCAGGTCCTAAATTTTACCCAAAATAAAGTACTTGCATAGGGGTCCTTTGAATCTACTACTGGACCCATACACCTGTAACTGCCGATTTTGACATCTATGTACACATTGAGGTCTGGACCCGATATAAATTATAAGGCATGTGGAGATAAGCCTGGTCTGGTCCACCACAGGCACGTTACTTTGACAGCGAATTCATTAGACTTATATTATAACAGACATAGCTCAAAAAAGTTATAACAAGTATGTGGATTCTAGCATAATGTACACTTAAAATGCATTGAGACTACTTGTTTGTCCTATTCGGTACTTGGAAACATTTATTTTAAATTTACGTATTTTTGTGCTTAAGGGACCAAGGACCATGTTTCGCGATCCCGGTATAACTCATAGAAACCCTGCATATTAATATTTACGTTTGATAAAGCCCCATGTTTGTACCTCATACACGCTTTACAACTATGACTACCACTTGCCTTGAACTTCCCCGCGCAGCTGTCTTTCAAAATAATGAATGGGGATAGTGTCAGCAAAAGGTTGTTTGTCTTTTTATCACTAATGATCTATTCTTACTTTAGATTGCAGAAGGAATTAATGGAGTTGCTAGTAAGTTTTTGAGCCACTGGTCTTAATTTGTATGTCAGTTTTACTTTCCCTTTTTGTTCTGTCGATTTCAAACCATATTCCCTGTTGACATTAAAGTCATTGTATCCACTTAGTGTTATTAAATACGCATGGATGTATCTTCCGTCTCGAATTCCTGCTTAAATGGGTGTGCAAGACATCTATTCTCAACGTTATAAGGGATAAATTGTTATCACAATTTGATCCTTAGATTCATCTTTATGGTTAGTTCCACACTTGAACTGCAGTCATGGCTGCACTAATATATACTCAGCATACGTCACGTGCCCAAGTCATAAGTGGTGAAATAACTGGTTAGCAGATCTCAGCCAGTTCCCGATAGCTACAAACCAGGTTAATGGACCAAAATAACCCTGAGTTACATTCCTTGCAGTTGCTGACATAGGTATTTACAGACAGGGAGAATCAATTCAAAATTAGTGTATGTTGATGTCTGATTGTAATAAGCCACAAAAACTACTTGTTTCAGTTTTTGGGCAGGTCATACTTGATGACAGAATCATTATTCCGTTAATAAGTGGCACTGATTTTAAAATCTCTGCTAATAAAGTAGTTTATTGATGTCCTGAGATGCTTTATCTGCAATCCCTCAGGTGTCCCGTTACTTGGTCTATCAGTAAGTGTTACTAATCCAGATCTCCGCTATAGTGATCGAAATACTCGGATTTCAACCTCTGAGTTGGAGACTGGAACCCCATTTCATTTGCAGTGATTTGGGAAACCAGGTCCAAAATATTTAATTAATTATTGAGTAACAGTAATCGATTCCCATTTATCCTTCACCAATTGGTGTGTTCACTCTATCTATACAACGTCTAAATATATTAGTTCAGACAACGGACACCTTACACAATGAAACTCAAAGCCAAGTTCGTGGTAAACGAGATACGTTATAATTCATAGTCATAACCGTGTTACTCCTTTGTGACTGGGCCTCAAGAAAATGTACAATTCATTGCCTTGGAATATGAAAATTAGTCAATACGTGATCTGTTGAAGCCCCTCAGAGTGCATTGAGGGCTTGACACTTACATGATTCAGACAATGTAATAATTGCATTTTATTCCATTATTTATCGTTTGTATACATATGCCTAGTTTCCAAGTTAAATAAATGTGCAAATCGAGCCATTTAGCTTACCGAGAAAATTAGTCTAGTGAATTTGAAATCTTAAGTGATTAGACTCCATACAAACCATAAGAATACCTCATTATTTTTGCTTGATATTAACTTAAAGTTAATTGTTTATTACAGATGTCTAACGACAAAAGCGTGACGGCATTTCCAGATGGCGAAAATCTCACTCGTTGGCTAGCGTCTATACGTGGTCCTGATGGAACGGTAGGTATATCAGTTTCTACATAAATGTCAATTCTTGATGCTGTTGTCTGGTCTTCATTTTTTTCTAATCACTGATATCTTACTGATCTTGTCTCTTAAAGGTATATGAAGGTCAGCAATACAAACTTTCACTTGAGTTTGGCCCTAACTATCCATACAGTCCTCCAAATGTGCGTTTTGTTTCGAAATGTTATCATCCTAATGTTGATACTCGTGGAGTAATATGCTTAGATATTCTGAAAGAAATGTGGTCTCCTTTACTGACTGTAGAAAATCTTCTGTTATCCATTCGAAGTTTATTAGCAGGTTAGTGTTTTAACATCGCATCTATATTTCTGAATTCTGTTGACTTCTTGTGCACAAAACAGCGTAGTCCTAGAATGTTTAGCATCCTCATCCAACGTGTGTACTAAAAAGATTGTATATGTATATATGTCTGAGCTCCTGTGTAATTGAACTATACACCTGATTGCATGTTCAGTGCTTCATGTCGGTAGAATAAAGAGCTTAGGTATTTTAAGGTTGTTGGTACTAGCAAATTAGAGTTCATTGTAATGGTGAGGCTCCATATATCTGGATTTCATTCATTTAGTTTGACTAGTAAGTATGTAAACCTAATCTAGAATAATTTTATTCCCAAGCATGATCGACAAAGTCCGATCACTATAAATCAAACAAACATTATACTAGCTACTTATCAGTGGTCAGACTGTGAATGTATCATTTTTACAGTAAATCTGTCGCTACTCAAATAGCTCAGTAGTGACTTGGCTTTAAAGATTATGAGGAGTATCAGGTCCCTCAAGACTAAGTACGCCATGTCAACATATACTAGCTGACATAAAATGTAGTCGCGAAATTCTCTTCTGATCACTTCTAACTATCTAACATCGAAGTAGTGCAGTCAATGTTGAGTCACTTAAACTAGTGACCAAATAAATACTAAGTACTGGATAAAAATTACATGGGTCACTACATAGTGATCGAGCAGTGTTAAGTATTCCAAAACTGTCATGCGTTATTTGCAATGCACTTTTGAACTGAATGCTTCCAATAATGTTTCTTGTCCGTTACAGAACCCAATAATGATAGTCCTTTAAATGGGCAGGCAGCCCAACTCTGGTCTAATCCTTCTGCATTCCGTGCTGAAATGATGAAATTTCAAGCATCATCTTCCAACAGCTAGTCTATGTAAATATTTCAGTGTCTGGCTATTGTGTACAGTCAAATTTCCTCCTTAATGGTCTACAAACTTTTGTACTATCCATTCTCTTTCCCTCTATTTTCTAGTTTCTATATTCTACCTAAATCCATGTATTTATCCAAACGCAAGGCATACTCAAAAGACTCGCGTATAAATATTATATACATACAAAATAAAATGTTCTATGAAACACTATATGAGTTTTTTCAACTCGTCGTAGTGGTCAACAAGCCATTTCCAAATGAATTCGTTTGATTTGTTGTATTGTAAATTTGATTTATTGTGTTTATAAGTCGTTGATATTGACGTTTATCAGATCGTGAAAGACATGATGCAAGTCCAGTTAACTGAGGTCGTGAATATTTAGTCCCATAGTTAGTTAACCAATGCTCCCATTCGTGTATAGGTATGTAGAATGCCTGAATATATTCAATTACATAATCCAGTCTAGGAAATGACCTAGAACAAAAATGTCAATGGTGAATTAATTAATGTTGTATAGATGAGCAGAAATAAAGTAAAATCTAACATTAAAGAAAAACAAAACGGAAAGTAGTCATGACCGAACTATTGGTATCTATGATCTCAGACCAAGGATTCCACTTATCTACTATTTAGTATGCTCAACAAAATTCAAACAAATTGTGGTATGCCTAAATCAGAATTTACGCGCAAAGGGTCATTGTAACGAATATATATGTATGTTGAGAAATATGATGAACAATAGTGGCGATAACATAGGTATGCTATTAGTTAGGTTGTTTCTAGAATGACAAGAGGTAAGCGAAACGAAATGCTATTCATCCCGTCAGTAGTACTAGAAACTCTCACTGTTTAATCCTATTTCAACGCAGTTTAGAATGACAAAAAAGATTAAAGTCATGCTAAATCATGTTTTGTGTATTCCTTCGTAGGGGCTTGAAATCATAAAGTTTTTCAACTGACTTATAATTATTTTGCACGGCTTTTAGTCATAACGAATCGATTTCACTGAGGATAAGCAGTCTAAGATATTCTAAGCGCATCTGCCTCATGATATTCTGCACTTGACAGTATATTTCTTTCAAGCGAAAAGAAACAACCCAAGAAAATAATTTAAAGAATCTTCATTTGACATTATGCACAGCTTATGGTTGACAGGATATAGTGTTATTTTAAGCTTAAAATATCTAAACTATTATTATGATTAGAAAACTGGTTACACTGACTCTATTCTATCCAATGTTGAAGACGTCGACAATAGGTAACAACTAGATTGGCGGTCGAATAGAGTATAAAGTGAAAGTCAGTGAAATATAGAACCAAAATAACTAAGGAATCAAAGACAATGTATTATAACACTTTTGTTAAAGATTGGACTATGTATGGCTAGTAGTCCCGACTGTTGTTGTCACCTTAACGTGGTGATTGGGTTTGCTTATCATAATGAACCAATCTAACTATACTGGTTGGAACAATCGTTCCTCAAGATCCTATCTTACCAGATAGGTCCGTTGAAAAGCGGTAAAAATAAAAGCAACAAAACAAAGGTCCGAAGTCGTACTGCTGACTGAGTGTGACGGAAGTGGTGTCTCCTTCAGACAACCAGCATAACAGCGATGCTGCCTCCCCACAAGGAGGAACGGGGTTATAAAAGGTCGACCCTAAAAATGAACACCTCGCCTTATCCCACGAATATCCGTCTCTGGTGGTAATATCTCAACAAATACAGAATTTTTATTTATTTGTTTGAACACACAAATATTGGTATAAGAGGGCACCAAATATATATGTGCCACACAAAAAAATTGAGAATTCGAGGAGAGAAGAAAAGAAGGTAAGGAGCGTAAAAAAAGAACAATAACGAACAGATTAGTGTAAGGTAGTGTAATAGTAATAATGGGGGAAATGGAAAGGTACAATCAGAAGAAATCTTTCAGGTAAGGAAGAAACAACCATTTTATATAAAGAAAGTAAAAGAAGGTTACAGCACGATCGTCACTGGCTTCTATTCTGAGCCATATCTGGTAACGTCTATAGCCACTGTGTTGCACCATCTCTCAGACCCCAACCAGGGAGTCGTGAAGGACCAACACAAGCCAGTCCTTTGCAGCTTTCTTTCATACCAAGACACCATGTCATACACTGACCACATCTCCGCTTTCTCCAACCAGTCCCAGCGTCCGCAAATAATGCACGACGTAGAATTCTCTGGGGCGACATTCGTAGAACATGTCCAAGCCACCGAAGTCAGTGTTTCAAGATGGTGATACCAATTGCATTATCGTCCCTGTGCCCGAACACACGACGCTGAACCTCTGCATTACATGGTGTTGTCACCGGATGTCAGTAATCCTTCGGAGATAGCGATGATCGAACACAGAGAGTCGTCTAACATCCTCAATTCGGAGAGGCCAGGTTTCACAAGCATAGAGCAGAACTGCTCTAACCGACGCGTCGTATGATAAGTATGACGGTGTTCTAACATTTGGCGGAGAGCTAAGATATGATCAATAGATCCTCGACCAGAACGAAAACCAACCTGCTCTTTCTCGTGTTTTGAACCACCTACGAAGTATGACGGAAGCCAATAGTTTGGACGCAATCGGAAGTAGACTTATCCCCCGATAGTTGTTACAGGAACGACGTGAACCCTTTTTAAAGATAGGGACAACTATCGACTCATCCCATGACGCTGGTACACTCTGTAGCTCCCAGACCTCTGTAAACAACGTCATCAGTCCCTTAGTCAAAAAGTCACCACCATCTTTAAAAAGAGCCGGAGGTAAGTCATCTGGGCCAGGTGATTTGTGGCGCCTCAAGAGTTGGAGTTCCTTGCGGACTTCCGCCTCATTTGGTGGATCAGTCGTCACCGGCCATGAAGGGTAGGTACAAAATGGTACAAAGAGGCACCAAATACATATGCGCCACACAAATCTCATCCGATATGTGTGAGGGCTGTGATACTGCCCGGGTGCCCAAACCGAAGCAGGTGGTTATCTTAGGGGGCCACACCCCGAGCCTTCAACCCAAAGGTCTGATCCACAAGGCAGTGAAGCATCGTAAGGAGATGCAGTCCCATGGAAGCCGGTGACCAACAATTGGTTCATTCGCCATTTGTTCCCGCAGGATACTGGAGCCCATGTGCACCATTGGTTTGGAATCCGGTTAAAGCGCCGGACATTCGCTTTTCGTCCTCTCATTTTCGTAAACAACACCCCCGCCACGAGAAGGCAGTGAGTAGGACTTCCCTGGCAGAGGCTATATACGCGTGGCCGTGTGAGAGTATTTCGAGAGGGAGAGCGGACTCTCCCCACTCTCGGCCGTACCAGGGCATTTGGGGGCATGAAGGGTAGGACAGTCTGATCGATGTTGCCAGAGCAGCAGGCCAGTTGAACTGCCCTTCGAAAAATTCTACCCATCGTCCAAGACGTCTATAGATGTTAGTGATTGGCATCCCGTCATCCTCACAGATTGTTCCACTCACACCAGACATCTTGCCGTCAGTGGCTCGGATGAGTTGGAAGAGCTTCCGGTAGTTACCAGATGCAGCTGCTGCTTCCACCTCATTAGCACGCTCCGACCACCAAACTTCTCGGTCCTTACGCAAGCTTTGCCCAATTTCCTTACATAACATCCTTCGTTTGTGGTCAAACTCACGGTCACCCGGAGTAGACCGACGGGCTTCGATGAGTTGTAAGGAGCCAGAAGAAATCCAGTGCTTATAAGCAGGACGTTTCGCGAACCCACAACTGACTGTACCCGCCATTTTCATGGCATCATGCAATTGCAAACAATGCTCATCCATGCTTTTCGGTGGAATGGTAGCTAGCCTAGCAGCTAGCTCAGTTCGATACTTACTTGCAACAGAAGTTGCAACCAGCTTGCTAATATCAATCCGTTGATGGCGGTCACTTCGTTGGCCACTGAAAAGTAAGGTAAGATTGGCGCAGACCAAGGCATGGTCAGAGTCCAGATAGGTACTCCAGAAGGAGCGGCAGTCTTGTACACAACCACGCCAGTGGTAGCTGATCGCGATGTGATCAATCTGAGTCCAGGCTTGGGATGCAGAGGGAGGACGCCAGGTGGCACATCGGCGATGACTGTGCCGAAAGTTAGTGCTAGCCAGAAACAGGTTGTGGTCTGTGCACAGTTGCAGTAGACGGTCCCCGTTATCTGTCTTGCGACCAACAAGTCCCCATCGGCCACCTAAACGACTCTCTTCCGTACCTAGACACCCGACCTGACCATTCAAGTCTGCGGTTAGTACTACAATAACTGTCGAACGCAATTTCTGGAGAAGAACAGATGACTGGTGGTAAAACTCATCCTTGAATGCATCCGGGCTACAATCTGCCGGGGCATAGGTGATGACTAAAAGGCATCGTTTCTCACGTCGATTTCTTCTCACTTTGATGGAACTTTCTAATCTAACAGCACATAACCGACTGTTAATGAGGATCCAATCGATTAGTGCTGCCTGAGCTCTAGCTCTTAGTGAGACACCAACGCCAGGAAGACCAGAAAAAGATGTCACAGAGTCCCTGGATAAACGCATGTAAAACAAGCTTTTTGAAGCGACAGGTGGAGAGCGAATTTATAGTACTTCACCAGAGTCTTGAATATGAGTCTCGGATAGACAACAAACGTCGATATTAAGACTTTCCAAAGACATGACCAGCCCTATCTGTTGTCCGACCTGCATAAGTGTGCGAACGTTGAAAGCAGCCAGTTTGAATGGTGCATGTGGTTTCAGAAAAACTGCTTCAGTATTCGTATTTGGTGGTAGCATACAATCTTCAACCAGTCAGTGACTCGAGAACGCTTAGATAGAACCAAGTTTTCACCATAAGCGATCTGCTGTATAAGTCGAAAAATAAGGATACACAGAGTAGGAATAAAAGGGAGTGAATAAATGACGTAAAAAGATAATGACAATAATAGTAATAATTATGTGAATCGTTTAGTTGTTAATCAAAGCGAGACAGGTATTTTCCATAAACATCGACATTCCATCATATTTGTGTGTGGGCTGTGGTACTGCCCAGGTGCCTAGACCGAAGCAGGTGGTTTTCTTAGGAGGCCACATCCCGAGCCTTTGACCTAAAAGTCTGACCCACAAGGCAGTGTAGCATCGTAAGGAGATGCAGTCCCATATTAGCCGGTGAACAACGATTGGTCCACACGCCATTTGTTCCCGCAGGATACTGGAGCCC